ACCTATAAATTCAAATAGCCTGTGTGCTAAAGCCAATAGTAAGCAAAGGCTAAGAAGAAAAGGCAAGTATGATTACTGTCAAAGCATGTATGACCAATCTTAATCTTCTTTGGATTTAGTGAGATGCAGGAAAATATGGAGAAAGAGGAAATGGACTCAGATTTCGGTCGCAAACAAAAATCTACAGATGTATTTAAATTTGGATGTCCCATCTGTTCGATGAAACAGTCATCTGTCGCACGTCTGTCCTCACCTAATTCCTGCAGCACTATCCTGCCCCTTCCAACTTCTGGGCAGCTTGCAACAAATATATGGAGGGTGGTGCTGAGGACAGCAGAGGGAGTGTTTCAGGATATCCTATGGCAGCTTCTGAACGCTTCCTTAGAAGCCTACTGGCATTCACCTGATGCTCCTTGTCTTTCCCTCCTCCTTTTTCCTGGCCAGAGTGCAGACGTGATGGACAAAATGGAGCCTCCATCTTGGACCACAAGGTGTCCTTGAAACTAGATGTCACGTGTGGTGGACTTACCAGACCCAAGCAGCCCTGAGACATGGGGAAATTCCTCGAGCCACACCTGCCCTGGACTGCCCACCTCCAGACTTTTATATGAGAAAAAAAATTATCTTCAATCTTATTTTTGCCACTGTTGTTTTGAGGCTATACTTCAGACACACCTAACCCCGGTATACTTAGGGAACAGCTGAAACATTTAAACACTTCCTCCATATTTTTACATCCTCTTTATGGATGACCTGCCTTTCCCCTGTCCCCATTACCTTCCCCAGAAAAAGGTAGCCAAGCCTCTGGAAGGAGGAGGAGGACAACACCCGCAAGACCTAAGAAAGAATAGGTGTCACTTGTTGCACAGGTACATTGTGGGAAGAAGAAAGGGGAGCACAGGCCAGGCTGTGAGGCCCCTGTGTCCTGACATCCTCACTCCAGATCAAAGGCCCAGAGGGCCAGGATGTGTCAGAAGAGGGGAGGAAAAGCCAAACGCTGAGGGGTCCTGAGGGGAGGGCCTCACCCATGAGCTGGCGGGCGCGTGGAGTAATGGTGGTGGAGCTGGGCTGGGCAAGGGTTAGGACAGAGCCAGCCCTGAGCCCTCCCAGAGCCCCCTCGCCCCTTCTCAGACACTTGCTGTGCTTTGTAGCGTGGACTGTGGTGGGGCTTGCAGAGGGGCGTGGAGGTGGGCGCCGCCCAGACCCACTGTTACAGGAGTCTCAGGCTCCAGGGTCTGCAGCCAGCAGGGGAGTTAGCCACCCTCAGGGACCCAGCCAGACTCCCCATGGTCATCAGCACAGGAAACCACCCAGTCACTCTGCAGCCACAACCAGTGAGGGCCCAGTGTGGATCAGAGGCCCTTCCTCTCCCTCCAACATGAGGCCTTATAAAACCTCCATCTACCAGCTGCCATTTTTAAAAGAAACAGAAGGGAAGACTTAATCTGATCCTAAGACACAAATCGAATGAATTCACCCCAAAGGGGACTACTGATGCCAAGAGAGACTGAAATACTACCAACAGGGCAGTCAAGAGCTTTCCCCCTCCATTCACACCGTCCACTACCCCTCACAGCCTGTGACCCTACGGGGTTGAAGAAAGTTACACTTAAGGAAGTGGCCTCTTCTGTGTACATCTGAATGTGACATGGGTGGATACTGGACCTTGGTAACCCTTGCAGTATCAATAGCAGTGGATTTTTTACCCACTTCTGGGTATATATTCAGAGGGAACTCTGATTCAAAAAGATACATGCACCCCAGTGTTTACAGCAGCACTACTTACAATAGCCAAGATGTGCATACAACCTAAATGTCCATCAACAGGTGACTGGATGAAGAAGTTGTGGTGTATTTATACAATGGAATACTACTCTGCCATAAAAAACAATAAAATAATGCCATTTGCAGCAACAATGATGCACCTGGAGATCGTCATTCTAAGTGAAGCCAGAAAGAGAAAGAAAAATACCATATGATATCACTCATATATGAAATCTGAAAAAAAGAAAAACAAAATAGGACAGTATGAATTCATCTACAGAACAGAAACAGATTTGCAGAAATAGTAAACAATCTTATGGTTAACAGGGAAAGGGAATGGGAAGGGATAAGTTTGGGAATTTGAGATTTGCAAATGTTAGCCACTATATATATGAATAGATTTTAAAAAGTTTCTTCTGTATAACACAGGAAACTATGTTCAACATCTTGTAATAACCTTCAATGAAAAAAATATGAAAATGAATATATGTATGTACATGCATGACTGGGACATTGTGCTGTACACCAGAAATTGACACATTGTAATTGACTACTTCAGTTAAAACAAACAAGCAAACAAAAAACAGTGGTGGGTTTTTAAAGCTGAGAAGTCTGTGTATCTGCTGCCAATCCTGTGATAGGAAGGTGTGGTACTTATATAACCATGTCTTGAAGCACTTTGATAAAACAACAGTGTTTATTTACTGGGTACAAGAGTACATTTTTCGTGGCTCTAATGTGAATTAGACTGTTTCTGCTTGGAATCAAAACAAGAAGTGTATCCCCCTTATTGTTATTTTGGAGACATCTGTGGTCCAGTTGCAGCATCTGGAACCTGTTGAATCCAGCTCTTTCTACAAACAAAAAAAATTCTAATATTAATTTTGTTTTTTAGAGATGTGGATATTTGCTTACACTGGGGCTGTTGATATAAAATGTTCAGAGTGTTAGGAAAAAACAGATTTGTCTAATTTGTGGCTTGAAACAAAAGCTTTTGTGATACTGAATTCTGGAGAAATTTTGTTTTTACTTGTCAGGCTTGGCACAAATGCCCATTAAACATTTGATCTGTTAACAAAGTAGCATTCCTTTTAAACAACGAGCAGACATGTCAAGAAAACTCAAATGACTTTAGACTTAAAACATAGACAAGCAGTCTTTTATTCATCTTTTAATCATTGTTAATTAAATAGGAATTTTTTAAAGTTCTTTAAGGGAAAATATAATTTGGTATCATGTATGCTTAAAATTGTTAAACTTTCCTGTGAGATTAATACTATTCTGAGTTAAAAAGAAATCAAGATCCAAATTTTACACTATTCAATGAAGGCCAGGGTTAATGTTTCTAATGTTTAAGTTTATTTATAGCACAGCTTTAGCTAAAAGAAGGAAATTAAGAAATATGTACAAAGTAGCCAAATACACTTTTTCCTGATTGCCTCTTTGGAAATTAACTTATTTCTTTTCAGATTCTGAAAGTAATTCACGTCCTATGCGGAAAATTTGAAAGATTTAGACTAATATGATGATGGCAGACCCAAAGTACCACCTCTTAGAGATGATACAACCACTGTTTTTATATTGGAGTATATCTCTTTATTCTTTTGTCAATTTGCTATACTTCGGAAGATTATAAATTTATCAAACCAGCAATCTGGAACAGCTTTTTGCTAATCTGATAGATACTACATCACCATGTTTTTCTGCTCTGGAACAGTTAAAAATCTTAACTGAAAAAGAGTAGCGATCAACCAGCCAGCCAATTACTCAACAAGTATTAGGGATGCTCATCACCCCTTGTGGTTAATACTCGTTTAAGAACTACGGGAAAGAGAGTACCCAGTTGATTTCTGCCTGGAGGAATCTACAGGCTACGTGCAAGGTGAGACTAACATGCGTGAAATTATTAAAAAAAAAAAACCAAAATAGGACAGTAAATATTATAATAGCTATTATCTTAGTGATTATTAATTGAGACCATTTAAGTGAGTCTCTGGCTTAATCAGTCTCATTTTATTTCAAGAAATCGAAACCCACTACAAGGAGACTTCCTGGAAAGACGACAAGCTCTACCATCAAACATAAGGCACCAAGGCACTGGCATCACAAGCCGCTGATTGTTGAGTTCTTAATTCAGATTCTAATGGGAGAGAATCTGACTGACCCAGTTGAGTTCAACGTTCATTCCCAGCTGTAGCCAGAACTCACGTGGCATCCTGAGTTACCCAAAGGGCAGACACGGCTGCCACCCGTTTCACAGCCATCCCCTCTTCTTCCTTGACAATAGATCCCACTTCTGGATTCAAGCAGGAATGTGCCCAAGCCCACAGGGATGAATCAGGACTGGTTCAGGTCAGTTATTATAAATATATTTCCCTTTTGCCAGATATGCACTTAACCCAGACCCCACTCGGAGTTGGAAGTGGACACATCGCACAGTTCTGGCCAATAAGATATAAAGGAAGTCTACTATGAAAGATTTTCCTCCCAAATAAAAGAGAGATGTCAGAGGAGAGTTCCTCCCCTCCTTCCATGAGGATAAGTAAGCTTTATGGTACCAACCAAAGAATCCCAGAGGTGCCAGTTCAGAGCCCTGATATCACTGAGCCTTGACACCAACGCTGGCACTGCTCACATCCAGACTTCATATTTACTAGGTGTTTTTTTTAATCAGTATTATTTAATCACTTCTAGTCAGGCATTTTGTCACCTAGATCCCAAAAGCATCCCAATAGTAGTTATCTCTTTCGGGGCTGTGGTAGGAATAGGTTCTCTCAGAAGTGGGTTGAGGACAGGAAGGAAAATACTGGCACATCTGGTGCAGCTTCTTACCGTCCGGAAACCAGACACCTATCCTTCCATCTGCCCTCTCCTTCCACTGATCCTTTAAGTATGACCCCCCTTTTACAGAGAAGAACACAGAGCTTCAGGGAGGTAAACAACTGCCCCTCCTCCCATCATTAAGTGCTGGACACAACACAAAGCCAACATAAATCCAAAGACAGGCTAACCTCCTGCCCCAGTTGCACAGGTGTTACCACCCAAAATCGCACGTGACGTCCTCTGGGCACTGAAATGGCTATGAGAGAGGAAGATAAAGGTGGGAGAGACAGAACAGTTCACAGAGAAGAGAAGGCTTGATTAGGCTTTCCAGAAGAGGGAGAGTTCAGAGAGGAAGCGCAAAGCCGGGAGGGAGTTCTACGTGGAAGGACTACAGAAGGCAGCACGAGAAGGGCATGCTGCTGAGACAGTCTGATTTTGGCTATGGAGCTCACATATTCAAGGGCTCTAAGAGTCGGGCTGAGAAGGTAAAGTTTAACACGCTAAAGCTGGAACGAGGGCATGCTGGAACGTTTGTGAGCAGAGCAGGAGGGCAACACGCTGACAGTAGTGTCTGACGGAGGTTTAGGTGCCATGGACTCCAGTCACAGAGCCGTTGGAATCATTCAGGCACAGAACCAGGAGACTGTGACTTGATTTTTTTAACCAAGGGTATGTCCTACGGTCTAAAAGAAAGTGGTAAGAACACAAAGGAAGATCTGTTAGAGAATCAGTTTAAAGGAAACCAGAACTTGTTGACTGACCAGATATGGAAAATGACAAGTTTTTCCCTCAACTATCTTTTTCTTTTCTTTTCTTTTTAAAAAAGTATGTGTAGTCTCTCTTTTCTGTGTCTTTTCTTTCCTTATTCTCTAATTTTCTTTCAACTTGTGCTCCAGTCTTCTGTCCTTTCACTTCCTTTTCCTCGTCCAGGCTGGCTGAAATGCTGGCTGCGGCTACAAAAAACAAAACATTTTGCCGAAAGGGAAGCCATGGTAGTTCTAAAATTATAGACAGATTTTTTTTTTCCGTCCATTCCACATAGGACCCAGGAAAACCCTTAGTGGGGAAAAAGAAACATCACAGCTTCGCCTTTTGAGGTGATGAGAGATGAATTTATGTTGGAATCAGTCATGTTTTCTGAGCCTTAGATGTGAGCTCTAGCCGCTGCTCCTGTGAATGTTGTGTTTATTCACCCGAAGTCTCCCTCTTTTCTCTGCAGATAATCTCACTCCAAATAGAGGGGACTACAGAACAGAACTTCAAAAGTTGTTGGATCTTAGCGTATTGCTGCCCTCAGCAGATTTCTTTGGGGTTTTTTAGGCAATGGCCTAAAAATACCTGAATAAATAGAAAAGCTCTTTAGAAATCATACCCTGTAACAGTTTTCTCTGTCTTTGACAATTCCCTGAGTTCCTAAAAAAAAAAAGTTCTTCGAAAGTGAAGATTTAACTGATTCAAGTAAGAGCTCTTGCCTGGTTTGTTAGGAGGACATCCAAGAACAGGTTGATGTTCAAAGGCACTGAAAGGTTCAAGACTTGTTGTTTACACCAGATATTTCCTTTTCTCTCTTGTTTGTGGCTAACATCTCTTCAGTTGAGGGAAAGTAATTCCTGGAAATAAAGGCAACTCTAATTCATTACACAGGACTAGAACTTCAAGGAGGCACCAATACCGCCACACACTCTGCCCAAGGGGCTGAGGAGGAAAAGAAAGAAGCCAGACTCCAACAAAATAATACACAAAAGACAAGCAGCCCAAAGGAAAATGGCCAAAGGCTGTGAACAGGCAGGAAGAAGGACCTGAACAATTAACAGACAGCAGAAAGAGGCTGGGCGCCATGAGCAGCCAGGGAAACGCAAAGTCAAGTGAAAATGAGGCTGCGAAGTTCAAGGGGAATAGGGGCCATATTGCCAAGTGAACAGACAAATCCACTCACAGCTGTAAATCGGTATGTATCCGCACAGCACTTTAAAGGGCAGCTTCCTGCTACCTAGTAAGACTGGAAACGTGCGTATCCCACGACCCAGGGGTTACACTTCTTGGCGCTCACTACAGAAAAATACTCTTGTGGCCCCAGTAGACAGGCCCATTGTGTATTATTGATGGCAATGAAAAAGTGAAAACAACCTAAACGTCCATTGACCAGGGAAAACAGCTAAGTAACTATGGGATATCTGTATTATGTAAAATTATGTCCCAGTTAAAAGGTATTAGGTAGATCTAAACATTGACATGAGAAGCCTCTGGGGCGTATTGTTAAAAGAAAAAGATCTACTTGCAAGATGCATCTGGTATGATACCCTTTGTGTTACATACAACAAAGTATTACACATTCTAAATATACATAGAGTTTATAAGTGCAAATACATAGCATAAGTAGTACATATTTTCTACAAGTATACTGAAGAGCAAGTATTTTTTCCATTAGTACAAGTATTTTCTATAAGTACAAAGGGCAAATATTTCATGTAAGTATACAAAAGGGAATGCTTAGCAAAAAGTCTTCAAGGATTCATAGTTCAGTGTTTACCTCTGGGGAGGGGTCTGGGATGCAGAGTTGGGGGTCAAAAGCGGCTTCAGCCTTTTCTTGAATGTTTTTAATTTCTTTAAGAAAATAAAACATATTCTTGCATATTCTCAAAAATGGATAAGGAGGAGAAAACGTTTAAATATGGGAAGAGCACCACTATGGAAGTGGAGGTGAAAAGTGACCAGGGCTGAGGAAAAGAGGAGATGGGTGAGCCCTACCAGACTTTCTCCCTGCTCCCCCACAAGGAAAACTGCTTCTGCTTCTCCCATTTGCAAAGTCTGCTCAGTGATGCCTCTTGACTCAGAAAAAGCAGCTTCAAAGCCACTGGGAGGAGCACATGCATGAGCAGGGAGCCAGCAGTGTGAACCAAGGCTCTGGAGACGAGGCTGTCACACACTTTAGATGTGGGGAAAAGGACTAGGAGATACTCTGCAAGGCAAAATTCAGAGGTAAATTTCTGTTAATCAGGTAACCTCCTCAAGGGCCAATTGTGTTGGAGAAACTCACTGGAGTAGGTTGGTTTGTGCATAGAGTTGGGGGTTGGTTTCATCTTGATGGAACCTCTGAAGTCCTGATCCTGGCCCTATTTATTAATGTGGGTATATCAGAAATTTAAAAAAAAATTTTTTTAATGAGAAGAGACTTGCAGCCTTCCTGTTTACTTGGCTGCTCTCATATAAACCAGAGATTTAATTTATCCCACTGTATTAGCTATTCCTTCTTTCATGGAGTTTGCTAGGATAGTGTAATTGTTAAGAACTCAGACTCAGAAGCCAGACTGGATTAAAACTGCCACTCTGATCTTTACCAACTGTGTGATCTTAGGCAAGGTATTTAACCTCTCTGTGCCTCTGTTGCCTTCTCTATAAAATGGAGCTGATAATCATAGATTGGATGAACTAATAGAAATAAAATAGTTAGAGAAGTGCCTGGTACATAAGAAACACCGTATCCATATCAGTGATTTTTGTCATCATTATTAACTCTAACAAGTCAGTCACTTTCGTGGTTATATGTTTAGGCCAGTTTTACAAAGCCACCGTGAAGATTAAGTCGCCTTGGTTCAGGCCAACCTCCAAATTCAGGCAACTTGCTTAGGAGATTAAGTGCTGAATAAATAAACAATTATGCAGGTACTAGGGTTAAAAGTGAACAAGCAGGGCTTAAGCAACACTGCTCAGTGGACAGACATCCCTGCAAGTATGCACACATGCACTGGAGATGTGTGTTGCCATCCTGAGCCATGTGAACACAGGCGCTGGAGAAGCTAAACTACCATACCTTGAGATTTAAATGGGACTGCCTCAAACTCCAGCCCATGTGCAGCTGGAATAGCACACAGGTGCTATTGTTCCTCTCTCTGGGAATTCTGAGTATGATTTATGCATTTCCAGGTCATTTCTGGCTCCAAGCTTCTGTTCCTGCTGAATTATTTCACCCGTGGATCGTCCTGCTGCAGACCACGCAGTCCCTGTCTATACGGTGTTGCCACAGAGAGAGCAAAGATACCCTTCCTTGATATCCCTCACAAAATGCCACTGGCACAAAGCCTCTGTGATGCAGCAGTATCTTACAAAAGGTCGGAAGCAATACAGGGCATTATGCTATAAAGTCAGAGCAAAGAGCCATAAATTTTTCAGCTATTAAATCACTTCTTCAAAGACCTTTGGCTGACCTCACTCACCACCTCTCTGGTCAATGTTCTTTGTTCCACCAACAGCCACAGAGGTTTTGGCTGATTTAAACAGGAAAGGAATCTCACATGCTGGTTCAGTGAAGAAGCTTCAGCTGTTACTGCTGGACACTGAATTGCACCAAGGCTTGCACAACTGACAGCAATGGACGTTGCTGGTCTAACTGATGCCAGGGCTGCGGCTGCCACCCTTCTCTCTGCAGTCACTGCTTTGTGGCATCATCAGTTCCCTATTCAGAACGTACAGTGGATGCATCTCCTTGGTGTTGTATAGGTCCCGTGCCCAGGTCTAGCTGCAAGAGAGGCTGGGAAAGCAGTCCCTCCCTAGTAGGTGAGGGATTCTCAAATCCAAGAATGCAAGTTGTTTACAGCAAATGTTCTCTATGTCACTGCTTCCTGAACTCTAATGTGCTTGCAAGCCATCTGGAGATCTTGTCAACATGCAGATTCTGATCAGTAAGTCTAGGGTGGTGCCTGAGATTCCATAACACTGCGATGATGCAAAGCTGCTGGTCTGAGCACCACACTTTGAGTAGCAAATCTCTACAACAAAATTCAGTTGCACAGTAACTTAAGAAACATTTTTTAAAAAATTCCAACGTCTGGGTTTCATCCTCAGCTGACTTACTTGGTCTAGGGTAAGTTTTGGGAATATGAACTTTTAAATGGCTCCAGATGATTCCAATGTACTCTGATAGCAACTATCACTGCAGGCTCTAACTTCTTGTCACCTTGCTAGATTATTTCTTTTTTCTAAATTCCCATACTTTCACTTTTCCAGCCTTGCTTGGTTTCCCCTTCAAATTCAATTACCCTCATTTATCACGCAAAACAATTTGACACCCCTCCTCCCAGTTCCCTGGACCTAACTTTGCATATCCAGAGACTGGATAAAGAGCTCTCCTAATCCAGTAGTATGTTACCTGTTGCTCTTGGAAATTGTGATCTGAAGTGATCCATGGACAAATATTGTTTTAAATTTTAGTTATATATTTTAATGTGCATTGCTTATAAATGTAACTAACAAAATAAATGTGAGTTCACAAATATTTTTGCTTAGGACAAGTCAGTTTTTTTTTAATTACATAAATAATAATATACAGATTCAAAGCAGATACCTAAGTTATGAAACTGGTCTGCAAATGAATGAAGTTTGAGAGTGTTTATATTGCTAATTGTAAGCCTTCTATCCAAAGTCACTGGCTTTAGTAGCACAAAGGAACTGGCAGAGGAGTTTAAAAATACCAGTCTTTTTTCTTCTCACTTCTCTATCAGTCTCTGGAGGATAAAGCAATATAGAGATTTACTTCTGAATTTATGTGAATTATACCACTAATCTTAATACAGTAAAATGGTTACTGTTTTGATCTTAAATAATAATTCTTTTTCTCTACAGTAAGTGAAGATTTCATAGAGTTTTAAGAAAATACCACCTACCTTTGAAAAAGTCATGAGCTAGACAGAAATAACTAAGAATTGCTTACAGAATATGAAAAATAGGTTAAATTCCTTAATCGGTTAATCTTTGACAAGAAAATGGGTGATTTTTTAAGAATTGTTGAAAGCTAATCTACAAATCCAGAGATCCCAAAACTCCTAAGCAGGAGAAATTTTTAAAACTCTACACTTTTTCACACCATTGTAAAATTTCAGCAAAGAAAAACAGATCTTAACCAGCAATTAGATTGACAGCGGATTTCTTAGTAGCAACAGAAACCAGAAGATAACAGAATAACATGTTCCATATTCTGAGGGAAAAAAATCGCAACCGCTAACCTAGAATTATATATCCAGTAGAATTATCTTCAATGAACAAGGGCAAAATAACAGTATTTCGGGTGGGAAAAAAACTGAGTTTACCACACATCACACTCATTAAACGAAATTCTATAGAATTTACTATGGGCACAAGGAAAACAATCCAGAAGATCTGAGATAGGCAAAGAAATGGTAAGCAAAACATTTTCATATGTGGTTTCACACATGCAGATGAGTCTAAAACCATGATGTCTAATTCATAGAAGAAACAGGATAGAACTAAAATAGTGATTAATAATAGCTTATAAATTGGAAGGGGTGTGCAGACCTTTGAATTATTCAAGAGTAAAGACAGCAGTTTTAGATTGTTTACAAGTTATAAAATAGTAGAAAAATCACCTTAAATAAAATATAGTGTATGACTCCAAATAAGTTGGGAAAAAGACACACACACTCACGTGCACATATACACACACCCCAAAAGAAGCTTCTCTGTAAGTTTCTGGCATTTAATCTTCATTGTCAACCATTCTTATTCATGGTAAACAGTATTTTATAATTTTTCATTGTGAGCTTAACTTTAAAGGGTTTTTTCCTCATGAGAATCCCTTTCAGCCTTCTATGGAAGCATCCCTCCAGGCTGGTTTTACGCTTGTTTCTGCCAGGCTTTCCAATTGCACCTTATCTGCAATGGGGGGGGGGGGGCCCGAGGTTAAAAGGAATTAATTTCTAGGTTTTGAAATTCCAACACAGGAGTGCTCTAAATTTAAACTCCAAATTCGTGAGATGCAAGTCAAAGGTTTTTAAATTTCATCAGAGTTAAATAATTTTCTTTCTTTTCATCCAGAAATGGGACGAGCTTCCTCACCTGCTCCTCCACTGGGTGTTTTACATTTTCCCCCATCCATCTTTTTCCTGAGGGTCAATGAATGGCTTTTTATAGTGTACAAGTTCCAGCTCCCAGCGTGAGCTACTCCAAACCCTCACCTCCTCCTCTGTACTTTCAGGCCTCAAGTTACAGAGACTGACAACACCTTGCCCACACCTAAGATGACCACTCTCCTGTTCTGCTTTAGACCTGGCTTCCAAGGATGTGGGGGTTTTCGGTGCTAACACCAGGAAGGCCCAGGGAAACTACACCCCAGCCCTTATAAGGATGGCCTGGGAAGAATCAGTTCAACAAGTCATTGCTCTGATTTTCACTTTATTTACGTTTCTGGCATCTTGGGATTTCCCTTCATTTGTTATAAGTTTAACGGCACATTCGAAATAAGGTTAGTTATTATCCAGTAATGCTAGGTGTTAGTGCTCAGTTTTCCAGTTACACAAGCCCACCATTTTGCCAGCTTCCCCAAATAACATTTTATTGCTTTTTATCAGCACCATTAGCACAAAAGCGAAGTTTGAGGATGAATGTCACAGCCAGGTACAGGTACACCCTGTGGATAGAAGGTGCTGGAGTGGTTCCCAAACTTGTGCGATTTGCTCCACCAACTGCCCCACGTCTCACGCCTGCTCTCGGCCCTGTTTCTCTGACCTTGAGAATGTTCTAGAATTCTCTAAGCAGGCCTAGCTTCCTTCTGTGAGGCCTAGAAGAAAAATTCTCCCCCTGGCAATTTATACTCCCCGGGCCAAGAAATGTTGGACTGTTCCGTTCTCTCCTACATCTTGGGGACCTGGCAATTGTAGGCCTCCATATAAGTGTTTCTAGAAAGAACGAACATCTTAAAAGCCAAGCGGGCCTGCCCTCACTGGTGTTTCTTCCAATCCAACCCCATCTCCCTCAGACATGACAGAAAGTCGTCCAAGTTTCTGGATGTTTGAATGTCTCTCTCCCTGTTCTCCACACGTGTTTCTATTTTCTCTTTCTGTAGGCATTTCAATCGATTTGGGGGCCGCTGTGAGGGATAATCGCAATCTGGCTAATCCTGTGCGTTCAAGACGCCATTTTGAAACTAGCGCCCAGACACATAAACTTCTTTTTTTCATTTTAACATATATTTACGTATGTGTACTTATTTCAGGAGTGCTTCTAAAACACTTTCGGGGTGACGTGCGCGTCTGTAAGTCTGCGGGCCCGCGGCGTGGGGCAGGCGCTGCAGGGGCCACGCCGCCGGCCCGC